GTACTAAATGACGGGATGAACAAGTCGTGCACCTGGTGGTAAGCAACATGCCTATCCATAACAGTTACAGTGCCATTCAGAGCTTTTAATCGCAAAGATCTTAGGGGTACTACACCTATACCTGTCACCCTGAGACACGAATTGATAAGTCCCATGTGCCTGTAATTTCATCAGCACCCTTACCCTTCCAAACCGAAACGCAGTAATGCTCACATTAGATATAGTACTAATGGTAAGTATAGCGATAGACATGTTAACACGAGGAATTAGAATAAACTGGCTGATCTTAACCGCCATCTTCACAAAGTCACAAATTCATAGTACCATAAAAAAGACCCGTTTAGTCCAAGAATTGGAGAGGATGTAGGATATATTTTTGTGTATCCAATGTAGCAATGAACATTGTTGACCTAATTTCACTTACGTCGTTCTTCCATGAGGGGTGCGAAATATTTATTATTTACAATGTACAAAAATGTGTGTTACAAAAAACATTATACACCTTTACTCATTCTTCTCAGGGGAATTCGCCTTACGAATGAGTAGTAGAGTTTAATTAATGTGAGATTACAAGTGTAATTTACTTACTTACTTGTATTTGAGGCGAAAAATGTGTAATAGGATCGTAGCAAGTGGAACTCTGTGGTCTCTGGCTATCCCGATGGAGTGAAGGGCGTATATGTATAATCTCAGTAAAAAGTACTAAAAAACCGACCTCAAGAGTTTGTGAAATTACATCTATTTGCCAAGTTTTATTTAAATCGATTACTGGAAAGTGCGCGAAATCGGATTCATCCATCCCCTAGCTTGTCACCACTTAGGGATGGAATATTTTCTTCAAATTTAAATGGAACCAGTAATGAGGCACCCTCTTTCCAAAAAAAACGAATCATCAAAATCGGTTCACAAATGCCATAATTAAAAAATGAGTTATCGCGTAACATGGATACAAAAAAAGTACAATCGAATTGAGAACCTCCTCCTTTTTTTCAAGTCGGTGAAACTAAAGTGATATTCAGGCAGAAGTTTTGTCAAAACTGCTTTCTAAACAAACCAGCGTTTCGGGCCCTTTACAGGTCCCATGGTCACGACTGACTGCCTGTTTGACTTGACTGTCAACAGTGACCATGGGATCTGTAAAGGACCCGAAACATTGGTTTGTTTAACTAACAATACGCAATTTAGATCCGAAAAAAAAATTCATTTGCAATGTGCGACAATCGCGAAAACCCTAAGATCTCGGTTCATTCAGTCTAGTCAGTCTCATTCCAGTCAGTCAATATGGCCAGTCAGTTCGCTGGTCATCCATGGAGACTGGACGTGACATTGACATACATAATTTTCGGCTGAATTTTTTTGCGATACCAAATATTTTCTGCCTTTATTTGGTACTACCCAATGCAAATGATCTTTATCGCTCTTCTCTTATATCCTTCATACAAAATCCTCTCGGAAATTCCATCCCCGGTAATATGAAAGTCACGTCGCATACAATAAACATGCCCATAAATAAATAAATAAGGCCGAATTTAATAACTAGCTCCAGCTAAGTAATGGTTGCCAGCAGGCAGCGTTACATATATTATAAACTGCCTCCATTTTTGAAACTTTAACACACATTTCTTGGCGCTGTATTAAAAATCTTTAAACACTATAATTTGGAGAGGACTCGAGCATTACGTTTTTTAGTAGGAATTGAATGATCGGGGCTTGTAGGTGGTTGAAAAAGAGTAAAGTTGACTTTATTGATTAACATTTAAATGATCTTAAAGTGCGTTTTTATGTACGTTAAAAAATTCCACGACAGATTTTTAATAATAATTTAAAATTCATGAAGTTACATAACCCAAACAAAAAGGATACCAAAAAGAATACTACAATGTGACCTTACATTCATAATAATGTGCTTATTTATTCTTGTCCAAAGTTTATATCGGGCAATTATTAGCAATTAGTACAAATGAAGTGAGGAATTGTTGAGCAAACTCAGCGGGAAGTCGGTTTTATAAATTCGACACCCCCTGGTGACGACTTGTAAATAAAAAATAACTAAATTACATAATAAATTACAAAATAATTGTGGTATTGTAGTTGACTTAGGCAGATAGATAACTTGTTATTATAGTAGTAGTAGAGTTCCTACTGCCACCTTGACTATTTCTGCTGCTCAGCGGTAATGCTCACATTACCGCGTTCCGATTTTGAAGAGTAAGCGTCCTGGTGAAATTACGGGCACATGGGTCTTGTCTAATTATGTCTCATGGTGACGGGCGCAGTGCAGTACCTGAGCGGCACGGCCACTGCTATGGATAGGCGTGTCGCTTACTATCAGGCGCACGACTCACTCGTCTCGTCATTTGGTATCATAAAAAAAATATTTGATCTGTAAATTCCTCAATCTTCAATTCAAATTACTTTAAAATAAAATAGAATAGAATTATTTATTTGGGACCATGATCCATAGTAATGTTAGTAATACAGTAAATTTTTCTTACGTGCTATAGATAGTACAATACAAAATTACTTAATTCTAGACAAATGCCACGTCTAGACCACTACCCTACGCACATGTAGATGTACCCAATGTAGTTGGTAGGGTCAGTCCAGCCAGTTGGCAATAACGGCTAGGATGCCATTAGCGCTGCCGTGCACACGCATTATGAGTGAGGCAGCCTTCTTGCGCAAAATAGATTAAAAAATAATTTATTTGATATGCAATTAAAAAAAATATTAATGAATTAATAATAGATACACATGTCAAGTAGGTCTAGGTCTATGTCTTAGCTACAGAGGACATAAAGCACATTGTCCTCGCTGACATTCTGCCATAGACTTTAATAATTAGGAACACACAAAAATGATTATTAAACATACACATTCACGTCAGAAGAGCGCTAATACAAAATACATTAAAAATTCCAAAATATTCAAAACCAGTACAGCACACATGCCACGAATTATGAGGAACCTGCACCTCGGGATTGCTTGTCAAAATGACATTGTGAGCATTTACGTTTGAATATCCGTAACGATAGAGACACAGCCACTTTTTACAGGAGGAGGAAGTCCTTTCCATTTCCATTTTAGTTGAGGCATTTTTGGAGCAACCAGGGGGTAACAGCCGTGACATGATTTGTTTAATAATCATGGGAATGAAATAGATAAATAAGCATACATTCCATTCAAATTCAAATAAAGCATGTAGAAAAACACGCTTATTTAGGCAACCGCATACTCGTACAAAAACAGTGTTGGTCTCCTAAAATGTTATGATTATCTTTCCTATCGTATGTATTTCAATAAGCATTAAGTACTGTAAATACATCATACAGTTAATGTTAGATAAAGACTTTTTTACTATCTAGAGAATGTCGCCTATTGCACAAGTCTGAAACAAATGAAGCCATCACATTTAATCGTCTTATTGCTATTTCACTAGGATGCCATCACGAGTGTCGGCGTCTGTGCAGCAGTGAATAGCTTCAGCGCAAAGGCATGCCTGCACCCGTACATTGGCGGTGAAGACTTTATCCAAGGGATGTCTTTGGTGTGCGGACGCCGCGATCTAGATCGACGGCGCCGGCGCGGGCGGCACGATCATATCTCAAAACGGTGTCCGCGCGACAATTGCTAACACCGGCGCCGGACAACAACGCGAATTATTCCTGCGAGCTGCGCTTGCTTCGCCTCGAATGACCCCCTCACGCCTGCGCGCATAGCATTCCAATAATCTGGATTTATTGTCGATGGACAGACGTGCTGGATTGGATGTAATGCAATTGCAAGATTTAAGATAAGGAACATTATTTTATGTAAATTTTATATTCCGTTCCTAAATGAGACCGTGCTTTAACCTATAATAATATTATGATGAAATAAGAAAAACATATAGATACCAGTTTATTATACAGTCTGAGTACTGCTGAAAAATTGCTAGCAATAATCACATAAAGATAAAACTTCACGTAAAGTTAAAATAATAACGCACACACTCGACATAGCCCCGCACTAGGGAGACCCTGTGTCGCGGGTGCCATGGACACACACTTAGACAACCCCAAATGACACCCAAACTCACGAGAGAAATGAATGTAGGCCATACAAATAGTTCTCCCGGCCCGGGAATCGAACCAGGGACCTCTGCGTGGCAGTCCGGCATGGTAACCGTTCGGCCACAGAGGCAGGTAAAGTAAAAGCATCTCCTTAACGACTCACGCGCCACGAACTGGCCATAGAGCTGTGAAGTAAAGACGTGGAGACACGCGGTGGACCTGAAGTTCTCTTCTGATGGGCTACTTCTAGGAAGACGCTCCACCGAGTGGTGTAAGAGGCACTGAGGCGGGTCGCGGAGGGGCGGAGCGGGATGCCGTCACGTGCGCCCGCACATCTGATAGCAGCGCCGACGCCGACGCCGCGGGAATGCGCGTTCGCGACTCCGCATCAACACGCAAACGAGATGCACGGAAACAGGGAAAAAAGTCTACCTATACCTCAGTATGTAGAAATAGATAATTATTGTGTTTACGTTGTAGAACCTTTTGATATATGATTTCCGTATATTATATCGCTCGACGTCGATGATAAGTTACCAAAAAAAAAATTTAAGCAAATGGTGGTCTTGAGTTAGCCTTACAACCGTTGAGAGTAATTTCAAATCACAGCAGTTTTGTCGCATCATTACACAATACTCCAACATATTGAAACAAAAAAAATGCAATCCATAAAAATTCGTCTCATAACAATAAAGTGTGCAGAATTTGACGTCGGAAAAAGCTTTACGACGGCGCACGCGGCTGAGACCGCCGGGCGCGCATGCTCTTACACATTCCCTCTTTTTTACCATCATCAGTACCATCCACCTCTATCTTTTTCCTATTATACGATACATTTTGAACCTTATAAGACTCTCATTGAGACGATTTTCAGTTGGTGAAATATTGAACCCGGTATTCGTATTCTGCAGCCTGTAAATAAGTATTTATTGCAACACCGATACTCACGATCCGCGACCGAAGATACCAGATTTTGACAACGATCCTCTCAACTTTGATACCGAAACCTCTATTGTGTCAGCTTTTTTGCTCTGATGCGACAAAATTTCATATGCTGTAGCTTCACTCGGCCAATTTCTGAGCTGCATTTTTTTACTTACATCATCTCTGAAAAGAAATATTTGTAGTAAAATTCGTTAAGGAAACTGTTTTTTCAATTAGGTCCTAAATTTTTTGTTAATATTGTGTTTAAAATAATTATGTAGATAAATAATGGGGCTTAAGAGCAATTATATTTTTCAAAGTAGATAATCAAAGTCAATGTATCAAATGAATTGCTTTTACTCTGTATCCATGTACAAAAATAGGACCCGTTTCTGGGCATTTTCCCTTGCAGTAAGTCGCACCTTTGTTGTAATAAGGCTACATCTGCAAAGAGAGATTTAAAAATTCTACGAACAAAATTAACCAACAACTTGTTTATGCTTAAATAGGACAGTAATACAATTTCTCAGATACTCACATAATTTCGATACCGCCAATGAACAGAATGCTAACTTTATTTTTTGGTCATTTTCTGTTATTTTTGTAAACAGCCAAAAAAAACTTAAAAACAGAACAGGTCCAAAAATTAAGCTGGCGTAGTGTTCATTGGAGGGATCGATTTGTTCCATACTTTCATATGGCTTTATGGTGCGAAGTATAAATATAATATTAAATACAAATATATAAAAACCGTATCAATCGAACCTAAACCCAGCACGAGTCTCACCACCGAACCACTGTAACAGACCACCATCAAAATGAATATATTGCGTATAAATATTGATCAGCGCGCATCAAGCGGGCGGCGTCTAACAAAACGGCAAAACAATACAGCATTCTGCGGACGACCGTTTTTGTCCACCTATCACTAAACACACACCGCTAGTGCCACTTGTGGCAGTTTCGAAACGATGGTGATTTATGTTACTTCGGGGTGGTAGACTATAATGTGAATCACTAGAGTAAATATTGTTAAAATGTTCTTCTCTCGAATTTACCTACGTAGGTAAAAGCCATAACGTGTCAACCCACATGATCATAGCTTTGCGAAAATGGCAGCTAAACTAATTATAAAATGAATATTTTTATTTATTTAAACATTTATGTCAGGCCATATAATATATACCTCAAGGACTTAACATACATACAATATAATATTAAAATAAAATAAACTAAACAACTAATCTCCACGTATTGCACTTGTCGGTGACGTGTGGCGCAATCAGGTGTCAGGTAACATGCTGCGGAATCGCCGATATATGACATCTATCAGCCAAAACTCTTCCTTCACGAAGGCCGACAGATGTTCTATCGGCACTCTCACCACAAGCGAATTAAAATTTATTATTACTTATTTTAATTTAATTAGAATGATGAATTACTGTGATTTATTACTATAATTCCTCAACAAAAACAATCGCAACCGAAAAAGCCTTCATTTATAAGTAAATAGATTTTTCACTTCAGTTATATTTTCCTTTCCTTAATTCCGATTTTTATTCTCATTCCTTGACTGTTCATGCGGTCAGACTATGGAAAGCACGCATTTCTGCTCACGAAAGTACATCGTTAGCTACTTTTAAATTGAGAGTTAAGGAGCATTATTTATCGGCTGTATTTTATAGGTATTATATTATGAAATATGTATTTATCGAAGTACTTCTCCAGTTTATAACAGTTTAATGTTATTAATATTGTATTACATAATTTTGTTTTTTATACACGTAAGCCCGTTATTGAAGTTATTTTGTCCTGTATTTTGGTCTACAGGAAGAAATTTCTTACATACATAATCAGAGTCTTTTGTTTGTGTTTTTCTTTTATTAAATGTAATCTGTGCTTTTTCCTGTGCAATAAATAATAATAATAACAAAAATAATAGAACAAGCTGTCAAAAACAACGAAAATATCTAAAAGTGCCATTTTTGCAAAACTTTGAACATGTTGGTTGACACGCTATGGCATATCAGCATCCAAGTATACTGCTCTCCTTACAATAATTAACGTAATCAACATTTTACCGAAATTGAGTTATTAACATATCTAGAATCAGCGAAACCAGATCTACAATCCGCTCTAAATGGTTGCTTTATATCTTATTTAGTTTCAGTTTTATTGTTAGGCTAAATCGGTGTAAGTGACATTTTTTTACTTGTTTTACTTATAAAAAAACCTTTAGGCGCCCATATCTCGAAACGTAAATTCTTTAGTTATAACAAGGCAGTATAAGAGGTTATTGTTTATTTGAGGATTAATAAATTATCGACTGCGAAAGAAAACAATATTATTGTCCTGTGAAATTATTCTTCAAAAAAGGACCTATATATAACAGATTGGAAAAAAATAATGGGATATGAAAGGGAAGTGCCTTAAATGCTTAAGATAACTAATTTTACTTAAAGGAAACGTTAGAAACTTTTGCCACCTCCTGAATAATCACTCTTTGTAAGATACGAGTTTGAGAAAGTAAGGCGATGATATATGACAACTTTTCAGAAGCGAGGCTTAAAGTAAAGATTCTACTTACTTTATTTTCTTTTAGGTTAGATTCTACTAAAGTACAGAGTTATAAAATTTCACATATGAAAATAATGTACTTGAAAATCTATAACATCCCAACGTGTCGTCTAAACCCATTGATACACAAGAGTGTCCTGTTCCCGAATCGCGAAGTTCGATAAATCAAAACACTGTTCTATCCGTCCTGAGCTCATGGCTTCGACGTCCTGCTGTTCCCGAGCGGCCACAAATTTACGATCGCCTCCGAGGACATGGCGATCGGTACCATCGCGTTATTCCAACAAAATATCGTGATTTATACAAAACTGAACAGCCTCTTTGCAATAATGCGCGTATTGCTCATGCAGCAATAAATAAATTATCGTGCATGAAGGGAAATCGTCTTCGACTGCGGATTGTTGAGATTTCTCCAATACGATGTTTACGATGACCTCGGGGTTTTCATAAGTGTATGTTATAATACAGGCTGTACTTACATAACACTGTGATATCCTGTACACTAGAGTTTGTACCATTGAAATTGTCACTCAAAGTTTCATAGCGAGCAACTCCATTTAGCACATACGCTAAAATATATATAGTGCAATAAACTACGAAGGCATATCTGACAAACCGACAACAACTAGCAACAGTCAAGATAGCCTTCAAAGAAGCCTCGCTTTTGCTAAAATCTACCCAACCGCTCCGAGATCGACATGCTAAACTTGCACGATTCCTATACGAATAAATATTCCTTTTATTCCAATTTGTCAGCTAAGCCACTCTCAGGGCGACTTATCTCCTTATTCAACGGTAAGCTCCCGCCAAAACAATACGCTGTGTCGTTAAAAAACGTGCTCGAATGCGGCATTTATCATCGTTGATTAAATACCATTGTTTTGTATTGGTAGACGCGGGGACCCCGGCTCGATCGTGCTCCTTTTGGGTCTCCGTCTCGCGCATTGTACCAGCCCGGAGACAATAAGTCTGTTAAATTGGCCCCCCTATACTCGTTATATTATATGCCAGCGCAGTTTGTATTTATGTTCGAGGGACGCGTGCCTTTCTTGTATTAAATTCTAGTGAGAACCGAGGAAATATCTTTGGATTTGTATTCTAATCTTAATATCTAATCTTACACTGTAAATCTATCTACAAGTAGTGAAATTGAGTTACCTGTTATAAAATTGTTATTATATCTTGGCAAAAAATTGAAAATTTAAGATCACCATTGAGGAGCTAGCAGCATATCAACAGGTCTGGTAACGATATACTATTTTGTGATTCACTATTAACTTGAAATAGCTTGACACCCACGCAACTTCAGCATCACGTATTACAACTCCTACATCTAGATGGCTTGGACGAGTCGCTTTCTGGGAAATGAGTGCATTTCTCAAGAGAACGCAATGTCAAGTGCAATACGTGATGACGCACGCGCGTTTTCGTCGGCACTTCAATGAACACGTCTCAACCGGCGCGTAGGAGTACTTTGCTTTTCTAGTTTTTCCACTCGTAGGTAATGGAGTTTTATTACCTGAGATATGACAAATATATTCTCATTGTGCATTTCGCGAACTGGCTGACAAAGAGAACTCGTGTCATTTTTGCAGATACTGAAAAAATAATTGTACCTATATACCCGATGTTCTGTTTTGGATTGTCAAAGACGCAAGAAGACATTATTTATTAATCAACGCGAGAATTAACGAGAAGTGTGTCATAAATTGTAACCAGATATAAAATTATAAGTCTTGTAACATTGTCCCAATGAGGCGCATTCGCTGCCATTTAATAAATTAATTAGGAAACATTTAAACTCACCGAATGACTTCAGGCTTCGTCGCAAAAAGGGGAATGCAAGTTGGTTATAAGAAATATGGTCGGAATACAAACTTGAACGTGGCAGAAGAAAAAGCGGAGTTGCTCATGCGACGAATTAACATGGTTAATTAATTTATTACTTAGCATCAATTAATCGTAATACGTCGGCGCAACGGGCCCTCGACACGCCCGGATAAATTTTCCGACTAATTTTACTTTTTAGACGACTTATTACCTATGCTAGTTGCGTACAATTTAAAGCAAATTCTCATAGTTGCCGACAATTGATATGATCATAATAAAATTTTATGGAAGAAAAAGTGGGAACAAATGCTAAGGCAAAGCGAGCGGCGTTTTGATTTTCTTGCCGCTCCTATTTATAGAAGAAGGTTTATTATTTTTTGAATACAAATTCAAATATTTGCAATACTTGAGCGACGGAGCGAAGTGTAGTGGACTTTGATAAATAATGAGCTGTCATTGCGCTGTCCAGATGGCGGCGCGGGCGGCGAAATCGGAAAACAGACGATGTTCGACTCATTAATAACCGGAATGGATCGAACGCGAGATGAGCCGATACGCTACCTGTGTTCGTGATTAGAATAAAGCACTAATCCAAAAGATTATTGGAGACGAAACGTATTTTTCTTAGTCACTACTACTAGAGTCATAAACGACATCATTGTACCTACCTAAGTACCACTGTATTTCCTAATAACGTTAAAAGCTCAAAAGAATCTTAAGATTTAAAATCTTTCGTGGTTTTCGCGAATATAGCGTATACAATTAAGGGTGAGAAGATTTTTTTATTTTTATGATAGCAAGTGATGGGACGAACAAGTTGTGCGCTTGGTGAAAAGCGATACGTATATCCATAACAGTTGCAGTGCCACTCAGAGCTTTAAATCGCAAAGATCTGAGGGACATTGCGCGCGCCACCCTGAGACATAAGTTGACAAGTCCCATGTGCCTGCAATTTCACCAGCAACCTTAACCTTCAAAACCGTCGTGTTTGTAATTTCACCAATTATTGACTTCATTGTTACCAACCAAACCAAACATTCGTATTCCGCCGACTATTCGGTAAGAGTGTCGAACATACTTTTACTAAAAATCAAATCGTTTACCTACGTAATAGCCTATGAAATACTGTACAAAGACATTTCTAAGGATCTGGCCCCACAGAAGCGGCCGACACGCAGCCGCAGCGCGTTTCAGTGTGTCAGGGTTCATATGAACTCGTACATTTTACAAAAATTCCCGCGCCCGGAACGCTTCCGCGGCCGCCTCTGTGTGACCAGATCCTTAAAATGAATGTTTCTTGGATGTTTATTAAGTTCAAGTGAGTCATTGAAGGAATAAAAGTGTCAGTCCTTGAAAGAAGATAAATCACATCGTTTGTTCGTAAAAAATTAGCAAGTTCCTTAGAGAGGACCGACCATTTAATTGGGCGGAAGGGTAGCGCGCTAAATATGCACCAACTTGTTATTTTAAAATTTAAGACAAAGCGCGTCAAGTCCGACCGAATAATTCTGCCAAACATTCGATTCGGAAAACTTTATTCGGTCGACTTTTCGCATTCGTTAAAATCTCGAGTCGGCCCATCACTAATATAAATATCTCACTATAAGTCGCACCTTGCAAAAAGACAACTTTTAGTGAGAGTTCAGAAGATTCTACGGAAGAGAGTAGTCGATAATTTTTTAATGCTAGGAGGGATAAGAATTCGTTTTATTTTTATGAGTTTCATGCAATAAAAGCACTTTAACGTATGATCACATGTGCTTTATAATACCGAGGGTAAGAAGTAATGTAGCTTACCAGTCAACTCGTGAACATGTAGAGTAAAACCATTCTGAAACACTGGGAGAAAATTAAAAAGTCATGATAGTCTTTTTTATGTGTTAGTTCTAATTTCCATATCGATTGACCCGTTCAGCACACCTTACGCAGCTTTTGAAAATGGCTATCAAGTTATAAAGCAACTAGCAAGACCAGATTGAAGACTTCAAAAGATAATGATGGACAATGCAAGCTCCGGGTTTAATGATATACAATATACAAATATAACCGGTCATACTCTCTCCAAATATTTTAATAGTTTGCATAACGCACGTTGACAGTATATTTGATGGTAAGATTAATATACACGAGGCCCCGAAGCTACCTCGTTTGTTTGGCTAACGGGACTTTAACAAGGTCGCAGTTTTAAGCCTTTTGAATGTCCATTTGCATAAAACGACAGCATTCTTTCTTACTTTTTTTGCGGTGTCTTCATTTGCGTCCGGAATACAAGTACTCTATACATCTATCTATCACATATTTTATAATAGGAGTTTTGACATTTAAGCAGTAGTTGTTGTTGTTTTTTAAATTCTTTTCGTTAAGGAAAAGGCAAAATTTTGTAATCATACAGCCAAGTTTTTGTGATTTTTTCCTTTTGCTAGTATTGGGTAGATAGGCAACCGCTAAGTCTTCGTCCATTGTATTTTATAGGCATTAAGCCTATTAAATCTTCGGTGTGTCGACAGAAAATTGATGGTCAAGTTTGCAAACAGAACTGAAGTTCTTTGACAAATAAAATTGTTCAACCTTTTCAATTCCATAATTAAAGGCCCATGAGACGAGATTATGCAAATGTGTGCGTCCGTACGGCGCGTGACAGGCGCACACACATACGAGCGTGCTATGTGGATTTATCACACTTGTTCTATTATATATTTATATTCATACCCTTCAAATTATTCACATTTTTTAGCTAGCTACTTTAATTGGTTAAAGATCTGCGGAATTAAGCTCTGTATTCTTAGATACAGACTAAACCCCAGTTTGATTGCAGAAGGCTTACATAATTTTTTCTTAGCCTTATATATTATAATTGATAATTTTATATACAGTTATGTACATTATCATTAAAAGCAAATAATTGATTATTATTAGATAGGCAGATAGATAAAATGTTTATTCATATTAGTGACAGGACGAACAAGTCGTGTGCCTGTTGGTAAGCGATACGCATGTCCATACTGCCATGCTTACAATAAGAACAGTAAGTCTATATGAATTTCAAACATACTTACTATTAATTTTGTAAGGACAGCAGCTAAGGAGTCGCATTGCCACTCAGAGCTTTAAGTCGCTTTTGCTTACGTGCGCACGTTCACAACCCGAACTCAGTGATGCTCGCATTACAGCTTGAGAACAGAAATAGGTAAGGTAGTAGTAATTCCCGACGAACTCTTCTACAACGAGCTTCTACATACCAGTAAAAACAAACGTTATTAGCATTATTAGTCATTAGACAAACATTAACCCAAAAGTCTTAACAAATTTAATGCATTTATTATGTTTAATATTCAGATCTCAAACTAAATCTGTAGACATTTCTAATCTGAATAAAGTTTCTTATAAAAAACTTTATTTCGTACACCTTATGTTTCTTATCTGCCTTTACCTCTCAAGCGCAACGTCCGTCAATCACACATTAGAATGGAATTCAATAAAGCAAATGGTGTATGACTACCCGCTACCGTACCCTATCAGATTCGGTAGCCGTATCTCGGCCATTACTTTATCATCTCCTATCTGAAGCTGATGCATGTGTTACGTGTTAAGTTCGAAAATTAGGTAAAATTCATATGATCTAAAGTGTGGACAAGATAAAATGATGTTTAAACCCAAAAAAAAAGATCGGCAACAAGCACAAAGAGAGAGCTAAAGAGAAATTCGTGAGGTCTGTTATAGGTCTGCTGAATCATTCTGTAGCTAAGTTGGGAGAGCGGCGACCCCGGTCTAGCAAACAGTCGCTGATTTGGAATATTTTGTGTGTGTGTGTGTATCTGTGTGTGGAATATTTTCATAAAAAATATATTCTGAATATTACGGTAGGAAAAAAACATATAATCCAATAAAACAAATATCGCAAGTTAAAAAGGTTTCGTCAAGAATCGTCTCGCTGCCGCGGGTAGGTCATTTACTAGGCGAATAAAGTTAGTCGATAATTAAGATACGAGATATGCTATAGCCATAAATTATATTTCTTCTTCTTTTTTAACTCTAGCCACCCAATGCCGAGCGTAGGTCTTTCAATGCACGCCGTTCCTTCCGGTCTCGTGCCTTCTTCATAAAATTTTATATATACTGACACCCATACTATTGGGTTAAGACTTGGTGCAATTACAGCCACATGGGTCTTGTCAACTTATGTTTCAGGGTGACGGGCGCAGTGGCAGTGCCCCTCAGATCTTTGCGATTTAAAGCTCTGACTATCACTGCAACTGTTATGAACAGGCGCGTCGCTTACCACCAGGCCCACGACTTGCTCGTCCCGTCACTTGGTACTATAAAACTAAGCCTTTTCTGATTGGCTCACGCTGATTCCGCGTGAATAAGTAAGTTTTATTACTCAGGAACGAATCCGCAGGTCAAGATGGAGTTTCCTTTAGTTTAGATTAGTCTTGAGGTACAGTTTTTTTAATAATAAATTTTTATAATAATAAATAAAAATTGGTAA